CCTCGGTTACTGTTCTAGAACTTGACATAATACTTTGTATTGCTATATTTTCTCTTCAATTTTATTTTCTACTTTAGGTTGGTAATTACAATACGGTAATTATACAAGGCACTTTTAAAACTTCTTTTTATATGATTTCGTTCAATCACTTTCTATTTGTCGAATTCGCCCTTCCATCTTTCCAATTGAGCTTTGTTCTCCCCCCCCCTCCACCCTTTTTATAGCCTACTAGAAGAATCAATAATCATGCTATAATCATTGCTGTAAAGCAAGCCTACAAATGCCATTTTAACAAGTCCTAAAGTCCACGAATTTGAGTTGAAAAAAAAGATATAATTTTTCAAGGGGGGGTATTACTTTTTTCAGGGAATTCCCCCCCCCCTGCCCGTTTCCCCTCCCTTTCAAGTACTTTATTGAACTAGGTTTGTTTGTGGAATTCTATTTGAGCTACAGCACGCAATTTCCAGGCAGACCAGGGATATTTAAAGGGACTGTTTACGCAATTTCCAGGCAGACCAGGGATATTTAAAGGGACTGAATACGCAATTTGCAGGCAGACCAGGGATATTAAAAGGGACTGTATACGCAATTTCCAGACAGACCAGGGATATTTAAAGGAACTGTATACGCAATTTCCAGACAGACCATGGATATTTAAAGGGACTGTATACGCAATTTCCAGGCAGACCATGGGATATTAAAAGGGACTGTATACGCAATTTCCAGACAGACCAGGGATATTTAAAGGAACTGTATACGCAATTTCCAGACAGACCATGGATATTTAAAGGGACTGTATACGCAATTTCCAGGCAGACCAGGGATATTTAAAGGGACTGTATACGCAATTTCCAGGCAGACCATGGATATTTAAAGGGACTGTATACGCAATTTCCAGGCAGACCAGGGATATTTAAAGGGACTGAATACGCAATTTCCAGGCAGACCAGGGATATTAAAAGAGACTGTATACGCAATTCCAGACAGACCAGGGATATTTAAAGGGACTGTATACGCAATTCCAGACAGACCAGGTATATTTAAAGGAACTGTATACGCAATTTCCAGACAGACCAGGGATATTTAAAGAAACTGTATACGCAATTTCCAGACAGACCTAGGGTTTCCAGTCGTAATTTCGTTACGCGTAATTACGCGTAACGAAACGTAACACTTTCTTTCACTTACGCAGGAGCATTACGCGTAATTANCAGGCAGACCATGGATATTTAAAGGGACTGTATACGCAATTTCCAGGCAGACCATGGATATTTAAAGGGACTGAATACGCAATTTCCGGGCAGACCATGGATATTTAAAGGGACTGTTTACGCAATTTCCATGCAGACCAGGGATATTTAAAGGGACCTCACACGCAATTTCAATTGACTCTTAATCTTAAAGTTGCCAATCCCAATGAATAACTGTACCCTTAAAACGTTTTATATGAGAATACAATTATTAAAATCCGAAATTACGTTGAGAGTTCCTTTAAAGTGTGGACGGGTCTATACAATTATTAAAATCCGAGTTTACGTTGAGAGTTCCTTTAAAGTTTGGACGGGTCTGTACAATTATTAAAATCCGAAATTACGTTGAGAGTTCCTTGAAAGTGTGGACGGGTCTATACAATTATTAAAATCCGAGATTACGTTGAGAGTTCCTTTAAAGTGTGGACGGGTCTATACAATTATTAAAATCCGAAATTACGTTGAGAGTTCCTTTAAAGTTTAGACGGGTTAATACAATTATTAAAATCGCATATTTCGATAAAGCTAGAGCTATAAATGTTTGGAACTATGGCCTATGTACGTCACGGAAATTAAAAAGTTTATTATCTTTTTTTTCATAGTAAATTGATTAATTTGTTTTATTTTTTTAAGAGTAAATTGAACCCCCTAGTTCCCCAGCTCGCTTTAATTATATAACTCTTGGCAGAAAAATGTTTTGCATAATTTTATTTCTTGGATAAAATCTAAATGCTAGGGAGTTAAGTTTAGAGATTAAAGTCTGCCCTGTAATTTATATCTCCACTAAAAGAACATGGATTAAAATAGCCTAATAATATTTTTTTAAATCTTATTTGAATATTGACAAAAAGTCAATGAAAATTTATCCTTAAAGAGACAGTTATAGTGTGTAGACGTAATGTAAAGTGACGACCCTCCATTTAGAGAGATAGACATGTCCGATTACCAACAGAACTTTTAAACCCTTGACTAATCAAGGAGGAATGAGATATTCTTGTTTTTCTATCTGCAAATTTATTATTTTCAGTTGATGGTTCAAAAGTAGTTTGCGGATTAAGGATGGGAATATACAAGAAAAGAAGTCTGGCATTCCATTCCAGAAATGGAGAGTCACTTTAAATTATGTCTACATTCCCCTTGGTAATATTCATCTGTTGAAAAGTATTAATGACATATTGGTCTCTTGTTCATTAATTTCAGTTCTTGCAGTGGAAGGTGTGTCACAAAAATAAATACTCTGAAAAAAATCTAGAACATTCCAACTTTTCCCATTTTCTTTTTCTTTTATCTGGCGCTTCCGTCGTTGCAAGAATTAGACACTTATTGTGATGTAAATTTGTAGACACCCTGTGATATTGCATAATTATTTTTTTTGTCGACTTAAGACCATTTATAAGCAGAGAGTCTTCTTTCTTCTCATGTACACTGACTAGAACAGTGAAATTTGTCACGGAAGGGGGGGGGAGGGAAATGGGGTCTTAGGGATTTTAAATACGGGTTGGCCCCAAATAAAAGTGGAAATAAAAATATCTTCTAAATTTAAGATATTTATTTATTTCCATCCTCCCCAGCACCTCAAAGATCAGCTTCTCATCAATGGGCGCAACCACCTCGCGCTCAAAAACGCGCTTGCCCAGCAGATGCAGCAGCAAATAGTTCCAGGACAGATACCAACCGTGGTAAGTGCACGCATGTTGTCGATCCGTTGTTAGATCGTGCATTTGATATAGTTTTCTGCACGCACTTCAAGCTCATGTCATTCATGATTGTATTGAGTGCATATATAAGAGCATATATATAAAGATCAATAAACCTTATCTTTATTGTTTAATGCCTGGAGCAGACATGACATCATAGTGACAAATATAGAGTTTTTTATCTTTCTTTATAGCTAGCAATGAAGTTCCTCTTAAATCCGCGTAGAAGTAAATGCAACGAATTACATCATATGTCTGTATAGTGTACACGAATGAATTGTGATATTTTTAGCCATATATTGGTATATCATTCAAAATCCGTCTAAGATAGATTAAAAGACATATTTAGATGAATATACAAAATATAAAGTCCAACAAAGATTTAAAAATAGAAAATACATGTTTCAGTCCTGGTTCCCTTTTTTGTTTTCACCTACAAATCAATGATCTCGTGCTGTATTCAGTGCTTAAACTTAATTTCATTTTAATGCGGATCCGGATCCTGGATTTCTCTCCTGTAAATAAAATATATCCGGATTCGGAGCCAGTTCATGAATATTTCTTCAAGGTCCCAAAAACAAATTTTCTAAATTTTCTTCTTCTTTCTGCAAGTTTTTATTGTATAAAGTTTATTTGCCTGTCAATATCTAGAAAGGTTATAATGAATAATGATATATCTTTGGTTCAACATTAAAATGTGTGCTTGAAGAAAAAAAATCTCATTTTTGTTGCTGTTATTTTTCCACAGGGCAGGGATCAGGATTCAGGAAGCTATCAAGGTATTAAGTCATTCCAATCTTCTTTAAAGGGAGTGCTCGTGAAAAATGAAAGGGGGTATAGGCTTAATGCGATAAAAGGCGCTTTTGATCGCTACTAATCTTACTTCTATCTGTTGCGTCTATAAGGAGAAAATTGTTAAAAACGACTGACACCGAAGAACGCAGCGTCCATACTAATTCGGAAAGATGCAACATTCAACTCGAATCGTTATCAAATCAATTTAATTCCAAACAAATCATTCAGATTTTACAAACAGTAGTCATCGATTATTTTTCGACGCATTCGTATATAGTTGATATTTCATAATATTTTTGATTTTTAAAAAAAATAATTTTCGAACATTCCTAAAAAGTATGAAATGTCGTCTTCATTGTCCAAAATCCTCTAAACAGGAATAAATGTTTTCAAAATTGAATCTCAGATCATGAAAAATACGAAATATTATCAAATATCAACAATTTACGAATGCGTCGAAAAATAATCAATGACTATTGTTTGCAATATCTGAATGATTTGTTTGGAATTAAATTGATTTGTTTACGATCCGAGTTAAATGTTGCATCTTTCTGAATTTGTATGGACACTACGTTCTTCGGTATTAGTCGTTTTAAAACACTTTTCTCCTTATAGACGCAACAGATAGAAGTAAGATTAGTAGCGATCAAAAGCGCTTTTTTTTATCGCATTAAGCCAATACCCCCTTTCATTTTTTGCGAACACTCCCTTTAAGTTTTAAAACTTCCAAGACGTGTTTATCCCTTTCTCATAAATCCTTGAGAAGCAAAAATAAACAACGAAATATTTTCTGCGAAATTACAAACTGTTAAATTAATAATTGCACCAGTTTCCCCTTTAATATTGCATTTAGAATGCATACTGATTCTATACAATACATACACCATGTATTTACTATACTGCACATCTTACAATGTTTTCATATTTTTATCCTACCATCCTCTCCACCTTTCTAAAGTCAGTTCAACTGAACTGGAGTTACCTACCTACCTACATTTACTACCTACCTACCTACCTACCTACCTACCTACCTACCTACATTTACTACCTATCTACCTACCTACCTAACTACCTACCTACCTACCTACCTACCTACCTTCCTACCTACCGACCTACCTACCTACCTACCTACCTACCTACCTACCTACCTACCTACCTACCCAACAACCTACCTACCTACCCACCAGCCTACCTACCTACCCACCTACCTGCCGTCATATCTAGCTACTTAGCTACCTGCCTTACTGCCCACCTACGTAAATACCTACCTACCTACTTGTCCGTGTTTATTACCTTCCTAAGTACCTACCTTACTACCTACCTACCAACCTACATTTACTACTTATACCTACCTACCTGCCTCCCTGCCTGCCTTCATATTTACCTACTTACCTGTCTACCTACCCTCTAACCTACCAATACCACCTTCCTACCTACCTACCTTACCTCCAGCTTACAAGCCTTACTTGGCCTAAATATCTATCCACACTTAGTTTAATCCTTCTACCTTTCTAGATTTCGACTCTCTAGACCTGAACCATAAACAAACAATTTCCAGACGAAGCAGTGCTTTACAATTTAAAAAAAATATAACAAACTAATAAAATCAACTTTTTCTCAAAGCCAACAATGAATAAAGGAACTGAGTTCTTGCAACAAACTCTTGTTTTAAATCTCTATTTCTGTGCAACCTGATGGTATAGACTTTTGATAATTGAAGCTATTAATTTATTTTCTACGCCCCCATCCCCTCATAGAAGACCTATAAACCCATCGAAAAATACTTGTTCTCTGCTCCGTCTTTGTTTTGTTTAGTCTATGTTGTCCATATTGATTCTGTTGTTGAAAGAAATTTATTGTTGCTGTCTCCCTCCTTATTTATCATCTCTAGTTTAAAGGATACTCAACAGATAGAATTTAATTCATCAACAAAAATATGTTTTATTTTCATCCCACGCATGGAGATTTATGCAAAGAATATATATTTAAATTTTGTATAAAATTACCCCCCCCCCCCCGTCCTTCTTAAAAAATAATTTTAGGATATTTTCATGTTTTTTGGGGGGAATTGGGTAAAATTGATTAATTTTAAGGTCAAAAGTATAAAAAGGGGGAAAATGTGTCATTTGATTGCCTAATTTTCTTATCCCTCCCCCCCCTCATCAAAGGAATTGAGTCTATGCCACAAACTCAAATTTTCTCATCCCTATATCTTTGCAACTTGATGGTGTAAACCTTAGAGTTTTCAAACGTAGATTATTTTATCTAACGCCTTTCATAGTTTGCCATATCTAAGAGTTTGTGGCAAATATTTCTTCCCCTCCCTCCTTGCCAGGATATTCTTTAAAATGTACACCTTTTGTCTCACTTGTACTTTTAAAATGTGATTTCATCCTTTTTTTACATTTTTTCACATTCCTTGTTTTTTTTTCTAAGATTTGGTGGCAGGGATGGTTTTTATTGTGGGGATAAACTGTGTATCTATACAATTATCTGTATTATATATCTGACATATTCCGACAAAGAGAAATCTAAAATTTGAAAATTTGAGATTATAATAACAGGGGTTTTTGTCCAAAATATTATCCAGGAGAGATAGGATTTTCAACCGTTCACACAGTTTATCCGATCAACAATCGGGCAAAATAATACTCGAAGAAAAATATATCGATACAGACATGATGTACTTCGTTGCAGTTAATTCTACGTTGCTAACAATACATGAAGATAAAATGAAGTTTTAATTAAAAATAACTTTTTATCAAAACATAGGCCCCTTTAATTAAAACGGAGTTTTACGTTTTTGAGTAAATTCCCTGTAAGCAAACTGGATTTAAAGTTTTTGAGAACACGCTATTAACGTAAAAAAGAAATTTTAGAATTTTTGAGAACATTTCCTTTGAGAAAGCAAGATTTTAAGATTTTTGAGTACATTACCTTCAAGAAAACTTGATTTTAACATTTTGAGTACATTATTTTTGAGAACATTCCCTTTAAGAAAACTGGATTTTAACATTTTTGAGAACTTTCCCTTAAAGAAAACTGGATTTCAACATTTTTGAGAATATTCCCTTTCAGAAAACTGAATTTTAACATTTTTGAGAACATTCCCTTCAAGAAAACTAGATTTTAACATTTTTGAGTACATTCCCTTTAAGAAAACTAGATTTTTAAAATTTTTAATTTCACTCCTTTAAATAAAGCTAGATTTTAACATTGTCGAATACAATACGAAACTGGGTTTAATACTTGTTTAAGTGGGCAACTAAGAGTTAGCTTGAAGGCATATATTTAGATCTATGATGTTAAGCAATGTAAACTAGGTATAGTATAAGGGGGTTGATAAACTAGGTAAAGTATAAGGGGGTAGATAAACTAGGTATAGTATAAGGGGGTAAATAAACTAGGTATAGTATAAGGGGGTAGATAAACTAGGTATAGTATAAGGGGGTAGATAAACTAGGTATAGTATAAGGGGGTAGATGAACTAGGTATAGTATAAGGGGGTAGATAAACTAGGTATAGTATAAGGGGGTAGATAAATTAGGTATAGTATAAGGGGGTAGATAAATTAGGTATAGTAGAAGGGGGTAGATAAATTAGGTATAATATAAGGGGGTAGATAAACTAGGTATAGTATAAGGGGGTAGATAAACTATGTTTAGTATAAGGGGGTAGATAAACTAGGTATAGTATAAGGGGGTAGATAAACTAGGTGTTGTATAAGGGGGTAGATAAACTAGGTATAGTTAGGGTTTTTATTCGTTTTTGAAACGATCGTTAAACGATCGTTTTTTGTTTCGTTTTTCAATCGTTTTGAACTTTTAGAAAACGAGTAACGATCGTTTTTGAGAACGATCGTTTTTATAAAAAAAAACTATTTGCGACAGTTTGTTATCATTTTTGAAATAACGATAGTTTTTGAAAAAAAATTTATTTAAAATTATATTAACGATCGTTAACGAAGGGTCGTCGTTAACAATCGTGAACGAAGGGTCGTCTTTAACGATCGTTAACTAAACGACGAACTTCATAAAAACGGTCGTTTTCGGAAAAACTATAGTTTTTGAGAAAAAAATGCATGCAACTTTATTGAATTTCGTTTTACATGAAGTTTAAAAGTTGTGGGGGAGCTAAAAAGCTAACAAAGGTTTGTCGTTAACGATCGTTAAAGAAGGGTCGTCGTTAACGATCGTTAACGAAACGACGAATTTTATAAAAACGAGCGTTTTGAAAAATGATCGTTTAAAAAACGACCATTTTTTAAAAACGAACTTTTAAAAAACGATAATTTTTAAAAACGATCGTTTCGTTTTTGATTTTTCGTTGTCATTTTCATAACGAAACGATCGTTTTTAAAAAGAATGAAAACGTTAACATCCCTAGGTATAGTACAAGGGGGTAGATAAACTAGGTATAGTATAAGGGGGTAGATGAAGGGGCCTGATTACTCAGTTTTGGTTCCTAATGAGCCACGAACTGTTGACCTTGTTGAACTTAGAATCCCTTTGATATTATCTTTAACGGTTTTTCCATAAATCTTACAGTTCGTGGATTTAAAAATCTCTACGGAAAGAATCCTGTTTTTCCTTCCAAAGAAACTATTTCGTCTTTTTGTGGAAATGCAATAAACATTATTTAATTTAATTTTTCAATATCTAAACTATTGCGAGTATTTAGTTCTGAATTATTTATAACCCTTCTTAATTTTCTTCTTGTAAACCCGAACCTTGTCTTCTTTCTACCTCCCACTCATTATCATTATTATTATTATTATTATTGTAGG